GTGATAAGGGTCTTAGATAAGTTGGGAAAATTGATAGATGTGAAGTAATTTGGTGACTTCTTTAGTATCGTGAGGCAGTTTCATTGGAGATAGATGGTAGTTTAAGTCTCCTCACTGCGTTCGGTCTGTACTGGCGACCTCGGTCAAGATTCTCCCTTACAGACCTCCCGCTCGGTTGATAAGAGCAAAGTCATGATCAATTTCCGTACCCATATTCTTTTCAAAACTACAGCGTTGAAAAGTGAAGCATTTAAAGTCCTCGATCATTTAATAAACTCCCTTTAAACATTGTGAAGAGTGAAAACATTCAAACGTTCTGCCTCGGAGCAAGACATTTCTTTTTATCTTAACTTGATATTTTATCTACTATTTTAGGTTTTAAGTGTGTTTTGGCTTTGTAGTTTTACGCTGTTAATGTAGTTTTTAAAATCCTAGTCATACATATAAATAATTGAGAATTTTGATGTAATTTATTTTTAAGAAATAGGGCCCTTATGGATACCAGCCTTGAGCTGAATGGGCTACCCTGTGTAAATAAAGTTTTACTTACTTACTTTCAAAAACCAAAAGTAGCGCCCGCACGCGTTGTAATTAATGAAGAAAATTTGAATAAGGTCTGATTGGCTTAGTGTTGTTTCGTTGCTTAATGAGATTTCACGCTCTATTGGCCAGTGCGACGACCTTATTTTTTTCAAAACGATTTGGAAATGTTTTGTTTCACGATCAAAAGTGGCTTTCTTAATTCAATCAGTGTTTGTCCCTCATTAATATTCGTAATCTCGATTACTTTACTCAAATCAATAGCAGTAATTTAATTTTTATTCCGCTATTAATCGACTTGCTCTGCATTCTTCTTGGAAACTGAATTAGGACTTTTTTTCTCATTGAGGTAAAACCCCTTCGCAAAAAAAGAAAGATTGCAAAGCGTGCGTAATTCTAAGTCGGTTGTCAAACTACGGAGTTTGTTCCTCTTTAATCACTGTAATTTTCACCTCTTCGGTCGCCTCTATATAGTGGGGGGGGGAGGACAGGGGGGTCGGAGTCTCCCTCTTCCCATGCCACGCCCTCCCGCCTCCCGTACTTGTGTGCCCCCTTGCCTCCCGACTCCCGCCCTCCATTGTGTTGCTCCCGTCTTCCGGTTAATCAAGAGGATCAGAAATAATAATAATTAATAATAATTGTATTTATATAGCGCTAAAATCCACTAATTGTCCAAAGCGCTGTATACCCACCCAACCCACCCCAGGGGAGGACATCCATCACACAGTAATCTCGTGCGTGGGAAATTAACGTCTCCTGCCCCTAACCCTGCAGGAGACGGGACCTCCATTTATTCGTCCCTATCCGAGAAGACTAGAATATCTAACCATTTCTTGATGTTAAAGAAAGGAAGCATATTCTTCTCAGTTAATTTTAAGACCCTGAGTGTTGGTCCGGCCGGTATTGAACTCTCGACCTCCCGCACAGCAGTCCGGCGCTCTCCCAATTGAGCTAACCAGGCGGCGGTTAAACACTGCGTGTTCGCCTCCTGCTGTTGACGACAAAGGTAGGCGTGATAAGGCGTCGGCGACCGCATTCTGTTTGGATGGAACAAATCTAATGTCGTAATCAAAGGCTGCGAGCATTATTGCCCAACGTTGTAGCCGCATAGCCGCCAGGGATGGAATTGC